TCGCCCGGACCTGGAGCAGGTCCCCTCCGTCCCAGCTCCGCGCTCCCGCGCTGCGGTGGGGCGGGCAGGAGCGAGCCCGAGAGCCCCAGGGCCCGGAGTCGGAGAGCACCCTTTCAGTCCTTCCTGCGTTTGCGGGTTCGGGCAAATTACCTAACCCCTCTGCTCCTCGGTTTGCCCCTCTGTGAAATGGGGATGGTATCAAGTTTGTGGTGAGGATTAAATTAGGTATTATAGGAAGGACGGGCAGGATTCCTAGACACAGATCCCGTGATCAGTTCAGCACTGTAGCTGTCATTACCGCCGCTGTGCTCAGCGTCACCGTCGTTCTGTGAAGGGCAGCGGTACCTAGCTAGCAGATGCAAGCGCCGAATCTCAGCTCAGCCACTTGCTGCCGTGTCCGCGGACAAGCTGCCTAATCCCGCGGAATCTCTGCCTCGTTTGTGTAATGGGAGAGACCGTGATACCTGCCTCGGAAGCCTGCAGCGCGAGTGAAGGGAGGCAATGCCTGCAAAGTGCTTACCGGAGTGAGTGCTCTGCGTCAGCTACTAAGTCTTCCAGAAACGTGTGACGCTGGATCAGGCGGCAGAACCTAGTAGCAGCTACAGCCGTGTTCTGCTTGAAGTTGAAATATTGTCCGCGCCGGGGTCCCCAGGGCTCCTCTCACTTTGCTAGCCGGCCCACGTGGATGCAGGTCGGTCTTGGGGAAGGGGCAGTGGACCGAGGGAGCTTGTCTCCGGTGAGAAGCCTGAGAGCTGGAGGAGGGCTTCCAGAATCGTGCTTCCAGCCAGCATTGCTAGAGGAGGAAACCTCTGGGCTGCAGGTTTATTTGACATGAAATCAAAACTAGACCTACATTTAAAAAGCGAACTCTTGGCCAGGCGAGGTGGTGCACACCTGTAATCCCATCACTCAGGAGGCTGAGGCAGGAAGATTGTTGTGAGTTTGAGACCAGCCTGGGCTACAAAGTGAGTTCGAGGCCAGCCTGAACTGCAGAGTGAGACCCTGTCTCAAAAAGACAAAAAAAGCCAACTCTTGCTTTTGTGTGTGTGTTGGGGGGGGGCAGGTAAATTGCTGTAAAGGAAGTAGTAGAGATGAACAGTATTTAAAATGATGGACTAAAACAAATTTCATTCCTCTTGCTAAGAGGCTGACTGCATAATTTTGAAGTCGGAGGTGATTTTCTTCCTCCCAGCAAAATAAATCGTAGAAGTCTGAAGCGTTTAGAGCAGTTTGGCCGCCTCTGGACGTCTCGGTCCACCGTGTCCCCAGCGCTCTGCTTGCTTCGCCACAGACTCACTAGCATCACAAATTTAAAAGACTCCCAGCGTTGCCCGAGCTCCCAATTTTGGGCCACATCTCATGGATCCAGGACGGAGAAAAAGTCATTCCGCGGGTCCAGAATCCTGCTGAAAGAACACGGTGGGGAGCACCGTCCAGGCCTTTCCCAGACACAAGCCCTCTGAGGGCCTGGGGGCTGCTCTGCACCCCCGCTCCTAATCAGATGCCCTAGTTTTCCTTTGTCAATGTGAACGCCGTAAAGGACGGGGTCTGCACATACCCCGTCTACTAATACTAGAGCACACAGGTCGTAGGAGGAAATCGCCTCCACTATCCAGAGTTTGGAAATTACGTAGGGTAAGATCCTGCCTCCTTCTTCCTAAGTTTAATACGGGGCTGTACTAATTAACTTCTTCCTTTAATGAGGGAAAAGGAGGGCAGCACCAGCCCAGCCCAATATTGGTCCCCTCCAGGACACATACCAGGGCAACCATGGCTACAGGGTTCCAGCACAGCTCCCCTGACTGGCTGTGTGATCTTGCTCTATCTCTCTGAGCACACTTTCCTCCTCTGTAACAAAGGGATAGCAATATTGCGCCTACGTCGTGGAGTTTTTGAAATGTGAAATGAAATGTGTGTACACTATGTGAATATTTATAGAGTACTGAGGCTGATGTATATATTTGAGATGGATGACACTATATGTTATAAACATGAGTCTATATATACACACACACAGTGTACAGTATTAGTTCATTTCTAAAGTGAAGTTTATTTCACACTGCAAAGCTCCTGTACCTTGGTGGACATGGTGATTTGTTTTCTAATACTTTCCCCCGAAGCTGTCATTAAATCAAGGTGTGTTCTCCAAATTTATGGTATCTTAAAATCAAGGAAATAGGGCACAGCTTGGCAAATATCAAGCGACCGCATTCAGGATATTGTTACATCAGGTGCTCGAGAAGCACTAACAGCTTGACCCTAAAGTGCAGAAGTGAAAGAGAAATTATTCCTCTTGGAAGAAAACAGCAGAGAGAAGCGGTAGGGGCAGTGCAGCCAGGACCCTGATCTCAGGCTGCCGCTGGGAAATTCCCTCAGCAGATTCCGAGTCGGTGACACCTCGCTGAGCATCTGCTCTGTGCCAGACACGGTGCTAGTCACCAGGGGACTAATGAGATAGAAACGGTGCCCTCAGGGCGGCAAGCCAGTGGCAGAGCTAAGGCACGGGCAGCAGTGCCCCTGGCTGGTAGGAAGTGCCGATCGGGGCACTAGGAGGGCTCCCGCCCCAGGAACCCGGGAGACCGTCCTTCGGCGGTCCAGTCAGGCTTCAGAGGCTGCACCTCGCCCAGCCCCCACGGGCCAGGCCTGGGGCTGGTAAGAGGAGTAGGCGGCCGGCCCCGTTGGCAGCCGTGGTGGCCGAAAGCAAATATCCTGGAGAGAGGGCCAAGGCCTCAGAATGCAGCCTGGCTCGCCGCAGGGCAGGGAGGAAGGAGGCCTAAACTCGCCTGCTTTTCTCCTCCGTCCCTCCAGCACGCTGCCTGCCGGCAAAGCTCCGCCGTGGCCATGGCTCCTGGAGAGAAGATCAAGGCCAAGATCAGGCAGAACCTGCCCGTGCGAGGCCCGCAGGCCCCCACCATCAAAGACCTGATGCACTGGTACTGCATGAACACCAACACCCACGGGTGCCGCCGCATCGTGGTGTCGCGCGGCCGCCTGCGGCGCCTGCTGTGGATCCTGCTCACGCTGACCGCGGTGGCGCTCATCGTCTGGCAGTGCGCCCTGCTCGTCTCCTCCTTCTACACCGTCTCCGTCTCCGTCAAGGTCCACTTCCAGAAGCTGGATTTCCCCGCGGTCACCATCTGCAACATCAACCCCTACAGGTAAGAGGCGGGGCGGGGACCGGGGGCCTGGGAGGAGGAGCCGTGCCTCCCCTAGGTGCCGGACAAACAGACGGCCGGGAGCCCACGGCAGCCTGCGGCAGGGAAGCACAGGAGGAGGGAGATCACCAGGGGAAGCTGGTTGGTCCCACGTCCTCCGTGAGTTGGTGCCGGCTTGCACTTTAGAAATATGAATTCGTTGCCAATATCGGTACTGCCCCCACCCCCGGCTTCATGGCCATACCGACTTCTCAGTCCACCGGCTACTTCTGGGGGGCGCCCAGCTCAGGGAGGGCGGGCCGCCGCGGCCGCAGGGACCAGTTTGGCTGAGGGGTTGCACCGGAATCCAGCCGTACCCGCTGCCCTGCACACGTGTGCACACTAAGCCCAGCTCAGCCCGTGCTGCCGTCTTCCCAAGCTCACACCCTCACACTCCCCAGCACGTGAGCGCCAGTTGACTCAGAAATGACACCCAGGTGCCTTCCGGAAGCATCCCCACCGCTGTGAACCCGCATGGGCGTGAGCCCAGCCCCACTAATTGAGATCATTGGGCTCCGGGCTGGAGCAACCCTCGGTGCTGCCCCATTGTCAGTTGTAGGACCTGTTCTAACTGGGTCATCAGAGTCCTCGGAACTGTGGAAAAATGATCGGCGAGACAGGTCAGAATTCAGCAGACCGTGTCAGAGCAGGCACGTGCAGAGGAGCAGGGGAGAACCGGAGGAGGAAGGTTACCAAGGGAAGCTGCTTGGTCCCAAGTCCTCCGTGAGCTGCCGCCGAAGCTCAAAGTCACAGTCAGGTCGAAGGCTCATGCTCCAACTTCTCAAGCCTTTCTTTTCTTCCTCCCTTCTTCCTGTCCTCCTTTGTTCTTCTGTTATCTGTTCCACAGTCATTTGCTCGGCATCCGTAAATTATCGTGCACTGTGGTAGGTCCTGGAGTTTAAAACTCAGCAGCACCAATGCATTCTTTGCCCTAAAAGGCTTGAACTATAGCGTGGGAATAAACTAACAGATAGAATTACACTACTATCATTTAGAATAGTGACCATTTGATTACACATGATGAGCAGGGGTAGGTTTTTACATATATGAGAAAGTCATTGAACTTTCCCCATAACCTGAGGAAACCGAGACACAAAAAGCCAAGTGACTTATCCAAGGTCCCACAGCCAGTACCGGGGTGGGCAATGCAGACGGAGGTAGTCAGGCTCTGAAACTCAGACCCTCGGTCATGCCCTGCGCTGCCTACCCAGGGCGCCAGGAAGAGAGAAGTGAGAGGGGAGAGACAGGAGGAGCCTGGGACCATTTGGTGTTATGGGATATTTTTTTAAATGGTGTCATTATGCTTCCTGCAGTCAACTCTGTACCTTTCCTGTGTTCTTTGTTGTTTGTTGTTGCTATTGTTGTTTTGTCGAGACAAGGTGTCATTACGTACTTCACACTGGCCTGAAACTCACTGTGTAGCCTAGGCAAACCTCGAACTTGCAGCAGTGATCCTCCTGTCTCAGCCTCCTGAGTGCTGGGATTACAGGTGTGCACTACCACACCTGGCCTCTTATGTGTTCTTGGAGGATGTCAAGGGAATAGGCATTTATTTTTCATCCCAGTACTGACTGATGGACACCTAGTGGGCAGAAGCAGGATGTGTTGGTCTGAGATGGACCCTACCCGCTGGGGACACTGAGGGTTAGTGGTTATTTACCTGTCCTTACAGTGGCTGGTTTATGGGAAGCGTCTGACAGTTACTACTCCAGAAATGCTGGTTGGGGCAAACTCATCAACACACCTGAGAGCAGCTAGTCAGTGAGAGCAAAGGTGCAGCCCTAGGATGTCACGCAAGGCTCACTCATGGGCCTTCCCTTTGGCAGGACCGCCCGTCACTTTGGATGGGGCACGTCATGAAAGGCCTAGTCCCCGGGGTCAGGAGGCTGGGCAGTGAGCACCAGGTGGATGCACTCTGATGGAAAGCAACGTGGAGAAATGGCAACGTTCTGCCAGCGCGGTGTCGCCTCTCTGTAATGCTTCCCTCCCTCATCGGCAGGTACAGTGCTGTACGTGACCTTCTGGCCGACTTGGATCAGGAGACCAGAGGGGTTTTGAGGACCCTGTACGGCTTTTCAGAGGTTCAGTCCCGCAAACGCCGTGGGGCAGAGTCTGAAAATCTGGCCTGGGAAGGCATCCGGCCCAAATTCCTCAACATGATCCCACTGCTGACCTTCAGTGACAAGGAGAAGGGCAAGGCCAGGGATTTCCTCACCGGCCGAAAGCGGAAAGTCAGCGGGAACATCATTCACAAGACTTCCAACGTCATGCAAGTCCACGAGTCTAAGAAAACGGTGGGATTCCAACTGGTAAGATTCACCTCCTTGCAAGTTAGGAGTATGGGGTGGGCTGGAGGTGGTGCCGAGGCCTCTTTTCCTTGGCTGTTAAATACACCCAGTTAGGGTGATTTGGCTACAATCATTTGCAACCTACTCAGCAAGCTTCAAGCATGGGAACAGTGTCATAGGAGCTGACCAGTAGCTCAGAGAGACTTCTCAAAGGGCAAAGAAGAGAGAAGACCTAGGCATCTAGGTGATAAGAAATGATGGAGTCTTTTCAGAGACTGCTGCTGGATGAAAGGATCTATTCTCAGTCTTTTTGTTAATGCTGAAGCTGGACACAGTGGCACACAACTATAATCCTAATCCTTAGGAGGCTGAGGCAGAAGGGTTGCTGTGAGTTTGAGCCCAGCCTGGGCTCCATAGTGAGTTCAAGGCCAGCCTGAACTACATAGCAAGACGTTGTCTCAAAATAAAGATTCAAGTTCCATCTTGGGACTATCTTGTTGGCCAAGCTCAGGTACCTGATGATCCCTTGGCTCATAAAAGGTGAGACACCATCATGGACAGTATCGCCAGACATAGCCAAAGAGCAAAAAAATAAAAATTCCCCCAAGCAAAATAGGGGTGGGGACACCAGAAGGAAGAAGTAGATACTCAACAGCAAGGACAGCGGTGTTCTTTGTCGTATTTGCTTTCATGAGATGCCCAGCCTGACTTTGCATCTCCATTTTGGTCCCATTTGAGGAGCTTTGAGGAAGCAGCCATCTATTAATAAAGAGTGCTATTACGTCCCCAAACAAACTCCATCGCCACTGTCCCTTGTCCTCTTCCTCTAGAGAATCGGAGCTACAGAAGTAGTACCTTACAGTTTTGAGTGCTATAAACCACAAATGGCTGTTAGTCACAAATCCTTAAGAAGGGCCTCCCCCAAGTCCTTACAGCTTCAGTCTTCCTAGGTCCTTAATATAAAAATTAAATTTTTAATGCCTGTACTTTCAGGACAGTTTCTAAGCCAGAGATGATGAGAACCTCTGGGATGTATCAAAATTCCCTTATAAAGCCTCATTATTATGGATTTCAAGTGCACATCTGTCCAGTGACCGCACGCAGTTGGTCAGGACGATATTTCAGCCCACACTTTTTAAGTGAGCTGGTGGATATATATGTAACAGCCTGCGCAAGGGGCTGCACAGAAGTCGTGTCTGAGTCTGGGCTGGAGTCCAGATGTCCAGACTGTTTATCTAATCGGAAGTGAGGACGGTTGGGTAGGAACTCAGTGGCCCTGAATCCGTGTGGGGACTCTGAAGAAACCCATTTTGCGTCTCACCTTGTGGCAGACAACACCGCGGAAGGCAGTCATAGGAGCGGGGCTCTGTCCCTTGCTCAGCTGCTTTTTTGTCCTCAAGGATCACCTCTCCTGGTCTCTAAAATGTAAGAGGAAACCTGTCTCTCCCACACATTTCCCTCCTGTTCCCCGGCACTCTTGGCCGGAAGTCTCAAATTACTCATCCTTTCGGTCCTCCTGAGGGTAGGGGTGAGACTGCGGGTTTCAGCCTGGTATCTCTCTGTTCACAGTGTCCCTCCAACAATACCTCCAAGTGTGCCACTTACACCTTCAGCTCGGGCGTCAATGCCATCCAGGAGTGGTACAAGCTGCACTACATGAACATCATGGCTCAGGTGTCTCTGGAGAAGAAAATCAACATGAGCTACTCTGCGGAGGAGCTGCTGGTCTCCTGTTTCTTTGACGGGATGTCCTGCGATGCCAGGTCAGGCAGGGAAGGCTGTGCGCTCAGCTTCTGAGGACCGGCGGCCGGGAGTGCCAGGACCCTGGCAAGGACCTGCTGCTCTCCTGTAGGTCTTGAGAGCAGAAGGTGGTCTTCTCACTCTCTGCTTTCTGGAAACTCAACTCCACAGAGCTAGCTGTAGGGTCAGTGAGTAGGGCAGAAAATTACAATATCTTCAGACTCATTAATTGACTCACCAGGATGCAGGTTAGTAGCGTGCGTATACTACTTCTGTGGTGCACACCATGATGAAAGACTGCTGGGCTGGTGCAGAGCAAGCAGGAAAGAGAGGGCGGATGGGAAGGAAAAGCCCCAGGTCTGCGTGGGTGAGTCTTCAGACTTTCCCACCTTTAGGATGGCCCTCAGCCCTGGTGGTGACTGGGTGGCGGATGGCACATTTTAAGGGGACCCTGCTTTTCTAGAGGGCTTACTTTGTGCCTTTCAGATACTGCTCCTTACTTACCTTTCTAGATGTTAGCAGATACATCTGCCCTGGCACAAACTGAGTGCCTGAAATGATGCCTCCCAGAGAGTTGGGTTCCAGAGTCACATAAGGTCACAGATGAAAGAATTCTTCCTCGGGGGATCATTTCGTAAGGCTGGCAATTTGAATTAAAAAAAAAAAAAAGTTGAGTGCTAGCTGAGAAACTTAAGAGTGGAAGAATTTGGAGGCAGATGCGGAGGCCCAAGGAACGCCACTTCAAGACAATAGCCAGGGATTAAGCGGGAGACCAGAAAGCGTAGTCTAATTCTGCGTCAACGCTAGTCAACCTGACTGGCAGGTTTTGTTTGCTGCTCTATCGGAGGCAAAATAGGGAAAGTGAGTCATGCCTACCATCATTGTCCCAAAAGAGAGCTGGGCCCGGGAGCGCTGCCCTGCTGGATTTCAGCTGAAATGAACACGGGAGTTCCCGGCCCAGCCCTTCCTGACGCGAGCCCTTCCCCCGTAGGAACTTCACGCTTTTCCACCACCCCATGTATGGAAACTGCTACACGTTCAACAACAGAGAAAACGAGACCACGCTCAGCACCTCCATGGGGGGCAGTGAGTACGGTAAGGAACCGCGCTGAGGGGGAACCTGGATGCTCTAACAGGGACGTGTTGGGCTTCCAGACACAAATCTAGCCAGGCCCGTACTTGTCCTCCCAGCTCTTTGGGAGGCTGAGGCAAAACGACCACAAAGTCGAGCCCTGCCTGAGGAGCTGAGCAAGATTTGGTCTAAAAATAAGGAATGCAAAGGGCTGAGGGGGATGTAGTTCTGTGTAAAGGCCCTGGGTTCAGCTCTCCAGGCCTGTGCAGGAGGAATGCTCATCTCTTCACTTGCCCCAAACCAGAAACTCACCTTGTTTGTCCCTTTCTTTCGCATGAGTGTCTGGGTTTTCCTTTCTGACTTTTCTTTTCTTTGTTTTACATTGGAGAGCCTCAGGGGCATCGCTGGGCTCCCTCCTGCCGAAAAACCGCCTTCGTTTAAGCTGGTAGCTGGGCTGAGTAATACTGGGCAGGTGGCGTCTAAACAGAGTTAAACCCACAGGTGCTGAATAGGAGGTTAGGGAAGTAGACGCACCTTTGTCTTACTTAAGATGACAGATTCTGGAGCCAAAACCCAGCTCTGCCTTTGCTGCGTGACCCTGGGGAGGCTACGGCTCTTCATCCATACAGTGAGAGTGATAATTTCCACCTTCAAGGTTACTGGGAAGACTTACACACCCAGAGCACGTAGGGCAGTGGTGGCAAGCCTCGGGGGCACACGTTTTATTTGTTTCATTTTTTAAAGACCAGAGATGTTAATATGTGAGTCGTTTTTTTCTAAACCAAAACCTCAGCCTTCAGATTCTGTTGCAGCGTTGGCACTTTGTGATAAATAAATGGGTTTTGGGTTGCAGTTTGAGCACTTAGTCTGTGAAAGTTTCGCCATCACCGACTTAGAATAGGGCCTGGTGTTTGCTCTATTAGTACGTGCAGGCTGCCATCACAAAAATCCTGTATCCTGGGCGGCTTAAACAACAGACACTTATTTCTCATGATTTTGGAACCTGGGAAGTTCAAGAACAAGGTGCTTGCCAATTCAGTTTCTGGTGAGACTTCTCTCCTTTGGTTGTAGATAGCTGCCTTCTCTCTGTGTCCTCCCACGGCCTCTTCTCTATTGCAAGGGGAAAAGGATGTCCCTCTTCTTACAATGACACCGGTCCCAACAAATTAGAGCCTCACCCTTAAGATCTCTTTTAACTTTCATGAAGACCCTGGCTCTAAATACCATCACATTGACGGTTAGGGCTCTAACATGTGAATGGGGGACAGTTCAGCCATACACACACGGTGCGCAGAATAAGCGCTAGTTGTTGTCATTGTGATTGTTATTACCATTAGTAGCACTGCCGCTCACCTGCTAGCATTGCTGCTGCTACCACCACCCATATCATTACTACCACAGTATTTTTCTTACTACTACCCTAATCCTACTTTTAAAGGGAAGGTAGGAACGTGACAGGTTGGCCTGGCTTACTCACAAAAGGATGTTGAAAGGCCTCATGCAAGCTGAACATGATTTGATGTGTCGAGATGCTCCCGCCAGGAAAGGCAGGGCTCTTTCACCCAGGACATTGGGAATACTTTGTCACTGTGTAGCCCATCTTCCTCCCAAGATGGCAAGAAACCGTAATTCTGAGTGTATACTGCAGCGGGGAAAGATATCTAGCAAGGAAAAGTGAAGAGATACAGAGTCCTGGCTTTGCTATGTGGGCCTGTTTATCCTCCACCGAGTCACTGTCCCCCACTGGGCATCAGTCCCCTTTTTTATAAGTCTAAAATGTCAGAATAGCACTGAAGTTCTGACTGGAACCAGGGATCTCTACCACTGAGTTACAGCTCTGGCCCTGTTTATTTTATTTTGATGCAGGTTCTCATTAAGTTGCCCAGGCTGGGCTTGAACTTGTGATCCTCCTGCCTCAGCCTCTCTAGGAGCTGAGATTACTATCGTGCACCACCACACCTAGCTTATCAAACATGCATTGAGTATCTGCTGTGTGGTAGGGACAAACCAGTGAACAAGGCAGATGCCATCTCTGCTTTTAGAGAGCTTCCATTTTAGCGGACAGGGATACATAAGTGGGCAAACACGTGCTGTACGTAGACATCATCTAGGTCCTCATGAATTGTGTGAGAGAGCAAAGCAACAAAGAGGAGGGCAAAGTGGCCAGGGTCAGGATAATAAGATAAGCAGATTCAGAAAGACTTCAATGAGGGGGCTACTTAAGGATGAGACAGTCCCTGCTAAGACCCGCACAAGAGCATCCAAAGGCCTTGCAGATACAAAGGCGTCAAGGAGCAGATGAATACGCTGTGTTCTGCAAGCAAGAGTGAGTGTGCTTGGAGCTGGCGGAGGGCTGAGGAGAGTAGCGGAAGAGAAGAAGGGAGGATGGGATGGCTGCATCATTCTGGCCTTGACAGCTGTAGCCAGACTGATCCCATTTGCTCCTACGTCCAGCAGGATGCCACCAAGGGGTCCAGGTCAGGAAGTGGCCCAACCTGATTCCAACCTTCAAAGGCTGGCTGCTGGGTGCAGACCATACTGCAGAGAGCAGGGGCAGGGACAAGGACAGAGTGAGGCCAGAGGCCACATATGGCATACGAGGTGCTTTCCCCTCCGAAACTTTAAGCACCAGCAGTCCCAGAAGACCTTTTGGAGGCTCAGAAGAACTCTCTGTCTCAAAGGACCACATCGAATGGTGTGTCTCAGGCAGAGCACCAGTTCCTTTATGTTTAGCGAGAACTCCGACTGTGATGCTGGGTTTGGACCCTTATTTTGGACGAAGCTTTGGAGCACAGCTGGGCGCAAGCCAGGCTTAACTCTCACCCTCGTGAGGCTTCGGTCCTCATCCACCATTCACTTGCTAGAAATGTTTGGGCTTCGGAAGGCGGGGTGGGTTACCCTCAGGGAATGCTCTTCTAACCTTTGACCACCTGCGGCTGCCTTATCCTCCAGGGCTGCAAGTCATCTTGTACTTGGATGAAGAGGAGTACAACCCCTTCCTGGTGTCCTCCACGGGGGCTAAGGTGCTGATCCACCAGCAGAATGAGTATCCCTTCATTGAAGACGTGGGTACAGAGATCGAGACTGCTGTGTCTACCTCCATAGGAATGCATCTGGTAAGAGAACATCTGCATTTTGTAGGCCTGGATAGGCGGACGGGTTTTTTTGCGTTTTGTTTTTCAATAGCCAATGAGGTGTAGCTTAGGAAAAGGAACTTTCAAAAAAGGCATGGCTCTGTATGTTCCGACGGTTCCCCAGTGGTCATGCCAGTAGTTGCCTCAAAGGTTGTCTTTGTATCTTCTGTGGGAATGAACAAAGATGAGATACTATTTGGGGAAAAAATTTTAAAGCTTCTTACTTATTTTGAAAAAAGGGGGAGGCAAGAGCATTTATGGAACCACGATGGAAGCAAAGCATCAGTTATGTATTTGTCAGTACTGAAACAGAGAAGATCAACATCTATCCTTCAGGGATGCCCAGAGGCCTACGGAGGCATGTGAACAACCGTTTGAAGGTCAATGGGAAGTCGCTGGTTCCCAAAGGTCTATGTAGTTCATCATGCTGCCATCAGTTTTACCTCGTTTATCAAGAATCCCTGCTCCCTCAGCCTTTCAACTGTTCTGACCTCATTCAGAGCTGGAAACATTCAAACTTTTAGTAGCGGCAGACCCGGGCTGCAGACTCCAACCAGTGTTATTGATCACTCAGCCTTTCATCTTTGCTAATCTTTCAAGAAAAAATAGTGTCCATTCTATTTTTACTTCATGGTTCTTCTTAGTGGCTTTTTAAAAACCTGTTCATACTCCAGTTTCTCTTTAGATCGTATAAATCTTCCTCCTTTTAAAAACCTGTTGGTGAATGGAAAATCAAATAATCTCCCTGTGGACTAACCATTCATGCCTTTATTTGCGCCCAAACTTAACGTCCCGCATTAAACTTCCTACCTTTCTTCCCCGACAAACTTGCCCTCAAGAAGAGGGGTTCCCAAACCCCTTGGCATCAGGTTCAGATCGGGTAACCCAGAATCTCTGGGGGATGAGCCCAAAGATCCGTATTTTTTACCTGTCTCCAGGGACTGTCACAAGAAGTGACACACTTGAGGAAATTTGGCTTTAGAAACTTGAGCAATTCTGAACGGAAGGAGGAGAAAAGTATATCTTTCCAAGTGGAAGTGCATTGGTGACTCAAAAGTTCTACCTCACAGCTGCTAGTAGCTTTGAATGGCTTATAAAGTGACAAGCTGGGCAGCAGGGGCTTGGATAGTCAGTCATCACTTGCCCACTGAGCAGTTACTTTCCGAGTGCTTCTTATGCTTGAGACACTGGAGACCCATCAGTGTGCAAGATACTACCCCTGTCCTCATGGAACCCAGGGCCCAGCAGAGAGGATCAATACTTAGAAATTATGCACATGATTTATCGGAAGCACCATGAATACTGTGAAAGAGAAACACGGGCTGTGTGAGCGCACGTTACGGGTGTTTTAGTCTGTTTGCTGTTGTTGGAACAAAATGGCTAAAGGTGAGTCATTTATAAAGAATAGAAGTTTATTTGGCTCTTAGCTCTGGAGGCTGCTGAAGCTAAGAGCACAGAGCTGGTTCTGGTGAGGGCCTTTGCGGCATCAGAACATGGTGGAGGCGTCACGCGGTGAGACGGAGCGTGTGGGCTGGCTGGCGTCCTGCTTCTTCTTACAAAGTCACTAACGCCATCACAGCCTCGCCCTCATGACTGCCTGGGACCCTAACTGCCTCCCAAAGACCCCACCTCCAAATAAGCTTAGATGATGGAGGTGAGGGACTGGAACAGTGGCTTTACAGCGCTCCTTACGTCTGCAGCTAGAGTGTCCCATTTGGAAAAGGGCAGGAAAAGGGCAGCTGGGGACAAAGGGAGCCAACAGGCCCCAGGCCGGTCATCTGCTGATTCAGACACTGTGGAGGCATGTTGTTTAGGAACCTCGGTTCAATGTGGGAGAGAAGTAATGCACACAAACTCGGGCTGTGAGAATGCGGAATATGGTGAAAAATCTCGAGCCCCAACCTGCTCACACAGGGGTTTTCCAGAAACCCGAGGACGCCACTTCTGGAGCTGGGCCTCTGCTGTTTCTCTTACTGGGAGACCATGGAACAGGCAAAGACATTAGCGCAAGTTTTGACCCCACAGTCCCCCTGCAGCTCCATCCTGTGCTGGGGAAGGTCCCGGGCTTTGCACCGCACCCCCTGCTCGCGCCATCCGCTGCTCCCTGTCTCTGCCTCTCGCAGCATCTGCAGGCTGGTCTGAGAGAAACTGCAGGGTGCGAAAGTCCAAAAAAGAATGAATTGCACCCTCTTAGTTTTTGCTCTGAGGCCGGAAATAACCACCACGCTGTTAAGCAATGTCCTCTTTATTAGTGGTGGGTAAACAAAGACCTGGGAGAGTTTTCTGCTATGCCTAATTTAAGATGTAGAAAATCAACCCCATAGAGCAGGATCAGTCAGCTCTAGGCTTGATTTATGAGCGTTTAGAATAGCAACCACAAAGAAAACAGTAGGTGAGCAGAAGGTCGCTAAGTATGAGTACTGTTTGTCCTTAGACTTCCTTCCCTGTTTATTTATTATTTACTCACTTACTTAGGTTTGATAAATGTGCTAAGCTAGTAGACTTAGTCAGTTAAGCAACTGGTTAGCTAATTTCCCTGATTTAATTGAGAAAGTGTGTGTTCAAGCCACCACATATTCAAAGATAAACACATTAAAGGTGTTTTCTTCAAATATTTTATCTTTAAGAAGGAAAGACAAAATGAATATACCGTTGCAATATAATTCCTACCTCTGCAGCAAGAAGTACTTTGTCTATGTAACACCCAGGCTCGGTTCTTAGAACATATCTAATATCCGATAGCTATTGGATGGATTCATGGATGAATTCATGGATGGATGGACAGAGGAGACAGAAGCTATTGGAGAAGATTTCCTAAATAATGAATTGTTCTGTTTTCTGAGGCAGGGTTTCACTAGGTAGCCTAGGCTGACCTCAAACCAGCTATGCAACCCAGGCTGGCCTCAAACTTGTGATCCTCTTGATCACAGGCATGCACTACCGCACCCAGGTCTAAATGATGAATTTCCGAAGGACAAATGTCTGGCAAACAATGTGAGGAAGGGCTTGTCCGTGAAAATTGTGTAGCAATTACAGAAGGGTCACGGAAACTATGTTAAGCCAGCCTTTGAAAACTCACTTTGGTTGAAATGCAATCAATACACCAGCACATTTGTAGTAACTTGAGAAAGAAACAATATAGACCTTGTTGAGGCAAAGGGGGTCTGAGTAGAAGGAAACGGACTTCAGAGGTGTGACTGTGTAGAAGAGCTAGGCTTGACAACCAGTGTTAGCGAGAAGAGCCCGGGGAATTTAGGTGGACATTTAGGTCTGAGCTTGGGCGGCGGGGTGAGTGAGTGTCAGGCTCAGAATTAGGGGATGCAAGAGAAATGTTCACAGATGCCGTGAACCTGGAGCTCAGGAGAAAGCGTGGGAGGTCTTTGCAGACTTGGAAATGAATGTCATCACCTAAGACCTGAAGCGCAGCCCTAAACATCTGCAAGGATTTAGGGGCCGAGCAGAAGGAAAATGGAGAAAGAGAGTCTGAGAGAAAGGAACAGAGGCCAGGAAGAGTCGGTGTCAGATAAATCAAGAAAGGACTTTCAAGGAAGTTGTGGCCGCAGCACCAAATGGGGTTGAGAGATCAAGGGTGACGGGTGTTCTCTGAGTGCGAGATGTCATCGGTGTTCTTTGCCATAATAGTTTTCGAGCTGAAGCCAAACTCTTGAAGCCAAAAGGCTGGAGGGAGAATGGGAGAGGAGTGAACAAAGGAGGATCACTCCCCTGGGGCTCTGGGGCCAAGTCACAGAGAGGGGGAACTCTGCTGTTACGGCAAATCCCAGTGGACTTTTTATCCTAAGCACCTATGCAACTCCTTTCATAAAGGTATGCATCGCAGGGATGAAGAGCTCGCGGATTGAGGGTCAGACGCCAGCTCTGCACTTGGTTACACAATCTCTGTGCCTTAGTTAGCTCATCTGTAAAGTGGGATGCTAATAGCAGTAATGCTGTCTTGTGGCTGTGAAAATTCATGTGCTAAGCACTTACTGGCTATTACTCTGCACTTTTTGAAGAAAAAAGATTTGAAGGGAAGGAAAAATAAAGTTGAAACAACAACAAAAAAAAGAACGCTGGGCCATGGATACAGCTCAGCGATACAAGCGCCTGCCTGGCAAGCACAAGGTCCTGAGTTTGATTCCTGGTATTTTTATTTCCTCCCTTCCTTCCTTTCATGTTTTTTTTCCCTGTTGCTGAGAATCAAACCAAGGGCCTGAGCATGCCAGACGCACACTCCACCACTGAGCTGCACTGCAAGCCCCTTGTCTTTTTTTATACTCCTTTCTTTTATGAGTTCGAGAGATACATAATAATATGCATAAACTGCATATATGGCATCTATGTATATTATTATATAATATGCTATTATATCATGTATGAGATTATACATATGCATATATATATGGAGAATACTAATTACTCACCATATGTGTTGAAAATATTTTCCAGTTTGTGCTTGTCTCTCAGTTTTCTGTATGGCACTGTTTCACATGCAAAATGTTGAGTCTTTACATAGCCAGTCTTTGTTCCTCCTGTTCCTTCTCCTCTCCCTTCTGCCCCTCTTCTTCTCCCTGTTCTTTCTCTTTTTCTCCTTCTCCCTTCTGTCCTTTACCCTCCTCCTCCTCCTCCTTCCTCTCCTTCATCTTCTCCTTCTTTTTCCTTTTCCTCATCCTCTCCTCTTCCTCCTTTTCCGTGTGTGTGTGTGTGTGTGTGTGTG